CACTCGGGTGTCAAAGGACTGCATTTTGTCAGCGTCTTCACCAAGTAGGACTATGTCATCTGCATATTTTAAGTCAATAGGCGAGCCACCAGGTGAAAGGTCTACTCCTGAAAATTCAGATGAGGATAAGGTTATATCTAGGAGCATGTCTATGATAAAATTAAACAAGAACGGAGAAAGTGGACATCGCTGACGGACAGCACTTGAAGTAAACAATTCCGACCAGAGTTCGCTATAAGCTCCCACTCGACCAGTGGTGTTCGAGTAGAGAGCTTGTATGAGGTTAATGTACTTCTATGGTACACCTTTCAATGACAGACACTGCCACAGAACCTCACGATCCACTGAGTCAAATGCAGCTTTCAGGTCCAGGAAAACAACTATTGTAAGACGCCTAATTGTGTGTCTGTGTTCTAGGACCTGTCTCAGTGCGAAGATGTGGTCTATACAACTAGTAGAGTAGTAAGAAAAATAAAATTTGCCAGTTTACAATTTAAAAAGTTTGTTTTACTAAACTTGTATGCGATTTTATTTCAAAAATCGTTTAATCAAATTGTTTTTTCTTTGCTTTTTACTTGTCTTTATTTAATAATTGAACAAAGAGAATTCAGTGCAGTTTCACAAAGTCAACTACTGAATTTATAATGATCATTTAAAAATTGTCGTCCTTGTTTTATCGTTTCATCCATCTCCATTACACACAAAACTGATGCATATTAAGTGTAGTTATAATTCACATTGGAAATTACCATTCTTATGCATATTTTATAGGTTTGTTGTTTGTTTCATTTCTCTCTCTTTAGTTTTATACCGGTTTATCTTAGATTTTGGACACAGTGTGCACATTTTACTTTTTCTATTTTCGTATATACAAATTTACCATTGAACAGCTAATTAGAAATGCAAAATATTAATAATAATAATATTAGTAGTAGTATATAATTACTATTACTACTTTGTAGATTGATATTTTTGATAAGAACAATATTTATTTAGGGGCAGAGTTTTGGAGGTTTGTGTTTTTACACATTTGAAATCATCAATCAATCATTGTTAGACCACCATCAGAAACCTGGAAGCACTGGACGGCCGTTTCGTCCTGGTTAGGCGTTCGCGCACAATACCGAAGGTCCCGGGTTCGAATCCTGCGAGGAACAGGAGTCGTGGATGCGCACTGCTGATGAGTCCCATACCAGGACGAAACGGCTGTCCAGTGCTTCCAGGTTTCTAATGGTGGTCTAACAATGATTGATTGGTGATTTCAAATATTTAATTAAATAATATAGAGTTTCAAAAAACTTTTATACTATATATGAATCTCAACTAAGAGAGTTGAACAGCATTTCCCCAATTGAAGAACATCTGGAATTCCAAACAACTATTTAATACAAATGTCACGACAATTCTACTGTATGAAGAGGAAACTTGGAGAATTATGAAAGCCACTGACTGGAAGATACAAGTGTTTATCGACAGTTTTCTACGCAAAATACTTCGGATCCGTTGGCCGAACATCAGCAGCAACAAGCTACTGTAGGCGTGAATGAAACAAATTCCAGAAGAGGAATAAATCAGGAAAAAGTGCTAGAAGTGGATAGGATACACACTGTAGAAAGCACGCAACTGCGTCACGAGACAAGCCCACACACCTGTAATCATCAAGGAAAACACATTAAGCGGAGATCTGGAAACAGGCGCCCAAAGAAGAACTGGAAAAGAAGCCTGAAGACAAAATAGATTAGAGAATGCTGGTTGGCGGCCTATGTTCTATTATAGGAGCAACAAGTGCGCGAACGCTTCAACTCTAGACCACCGAGTCGGCATCTAACGGTGTTAATGTATTAACTTTATTGATGAATTCAATGAAAAGAAACAGTCATAACTCTATGGTGAATAAAATATTGTCAACTTAAAGAAATGTATAACTATATTCGAACAAAAAAGTCTATTCAACCTTCTAGAGAACAAATCCTGTAGCGTTTTTTTGACAACCTAGTCTTTTGGTGGGATGGGGTCGCTAACCCGATGCCCAACCCTCCTGCTTTATCTGGGCTTGGGACCGGCAGTAGCGCCAAAGGTTCTACAGGCAGAGTTGTTTTATACCCTTACTTAAATCAATCGAATGTTGTCTCTTTTGCATGGTAAGTGACTATTCAATGTATTCAATTAAATTTATGTATACGTTCAATGTACAATAAATAATACAAGTAGGATTTTTTGCAAAAATAATACTAGATTCTAACAAATTGTTTTTCTTCATATTTATATATGTATATAAACTGATCAAGGCAATCAACATAGAATAAAAAAGGGTAATTTATGTTTGATTGACATCATATGAAATAAACTTATTATTATCTCAATAGGCTTTTTATGATTCAAGGTGTATTTAGAATAATATTGAACTTTTTAATCAAGTGTTTTTTAATCTTGACAAAAAATAAAGACAATTTTTTGGCCTTAAGGATTGAAAATATAGTGTTGGGATGATGTCGACTGATAAAAATGCACACACCTATAACCACTGGGACATGTATGCGTAAATGTTGCCTACAAATTTTTTGAAATGATGTACTTGTTCAACGAAATAAAACGATTTTTCATTTCTGACATATATGTGATGTGAAAGTAATTTTATGCATAAACTGTTATTTAACTAGAGAACTAAGGAAAAGAAGGGAAACTGGAGTTTAAAAAACAAATCAACAGGAAGTTACATATGCAAGATTAATTGATGTACTTCTATTGATAAATAAACACATTTGGAAATTGTTTACGACAAGACTGTCAAAAATTTCTGACAAGCAAAGAAAAGTGCTTCAATTTTATTTACGATCTGCTTCTACCCCATTCTTATTTGTACATCATTCACAGCTGGATTGCAACGTTGTAGATCTCAAGTTTCGGTATTATTCTAAGCTTTTTGTTCACTTAAGTTTCATCCTAGTGTATGACTCCTCTGAAGCACTCATTAACGACCATTCCTGGTCAGTCAGTCAATCAGTCAGTTACAAAGTAGGAACCATAACAGCGCAGAGACGCAATTGTCAATTCAAATCCAATTGTAGTAGTAGCAATAAAAATGATGAATGATGGTTTGAGAAGAAAAACAGAGATTAACAAACTGAGCTCAGTACATAAACAATCGATATACAAACAAATAAAAACAATGTATTAGTTAATAGCGGTAGGCCTTCAACCCACACACAAATGAAAAAGCAACATCCACCAATACATAACAACATGCACCAACCGAATCACACTTGAAAAAAAAGCACTGAAAGGTAGGAGGAGACCTTCACATATCTGAGCAGCCTCATTGATGGGCAAGGTGGATCTGATGCAGATGTAAGGGCGCGGATCAGTGATGCAAGAGCAGCATTTCTACAATTAATGAACATCTGGAACTCAAAACAATATTCAACTAACACCAAAGTTACAATTTTCAATACAAATGTCAAGACCGTTCTACTTTACGGGGCAGATAGTTGGAGAACCACGAAAACCATCATCTACAAGATACAGATGTTTATTAAGAGTTGTCTACGCAAGATACTGAGGATCCGTTGGCCAGATAATATCAGCAACAATCTACTGTGGGAGAAGATAAACCAGTTTGCAACAGAGGGAGAAATTATGAAAAAACAGCGGAGGCGAATAGGACACATAAAGCGGAAATATCCACAAATACATCACGCAGCAATCCCTCACTTGTAATTCACTAAGGTCAAAGGAGAAGAATAAAATCAAAGAACTATTACGCAGAATTGGAATCAATTTTGAAAGGAATGAACAGCGATTTGGTAGAACTGGAACAGAAAGCCCAGTACATAGTAGGTTGCAGAATGCTGGTCGGCGGCCTATGCTCTATCAGTGGTAACATGCGTAAGTAATTAGGTCAGTAAGTGATTGGATAGTACAAAGATGTGTCGATGGCAGATAGTCAAAGAATATGAAATTCATGTACTTTTTTGGCTGCCACAGATCAATCAGATGGAATTATCAAAATACCGACAGTCGTAAACATATCGACATAGAGAATATGAACCTAGAAGATCTGATTTGAGGCATAAAATAAGATGAAGAATTAATGCATTGAAGTAATCACCACCGATTCAAATATATTGCATCCAGCGTCTCTAGTCATTAGTTATGATAGTTAATGCGGACTTTAATCAAGTAGTCTGCACCTATTCATTTTGCTTCGGTTAAAACTGAAGTAAACTAAAGTTGAGAATTAATAATAATCCATTCAACTGGAAAGAAATTTTAATGGCTCGGAATCTAACTCCAATTTTTATGAAATAAATCTTCCTTTCAGAGATTGCCTCAGTGAATCCATATACGAATTCAGTTGAATGAAATAACTCCACACGATCATTTAAACGGAAAGACAGTAACGAGGAGCGTGAAAGTGAAGTGAATTAAAACGGAAAATGTGAAAGGGGTCAACTCCATGAGATGAGGCATAGCTAAGTAATTATAGTCAGACAAAAATAAGCCATACCCTGTAAAAATCCAAGTAAGCACTTATGCACATACTCAAGTAAAAACAACCAACCACATGCAGACAAGGTTGAAAGGCATATGAATAACTCAAGAATAAATTGATTACTGAAGTTGCGAATCGATCATTGTTAGACCACCATTAGTAACCTGAAAGCAGTGAATGGCCGTCTCGTCCTAGTGTAGTTAGTGCTTATCAGTAGTGAGCATCCGCAAGCCCCGCTCGGTTGAGCAAGACTATGGATAGATGGAGTTAGATATTGATACCTTTGGATGACGGTTCAGCGGTCTAGAGGTGAAGCGTTCGCGCACAAGACCGAAGATTCATAATTTCAATGAAACTCACTAATCTCCGTAACCCTATAGTGAAAAGAAATGGATTGATTGATTTGTCTAAAAGCCGGAAACAAGCTACATGGGCTCGACATATCGATAAATAGTACGTACAACTTACTAACAACATTTTAAAAAATACACTGATAAAAGAAACTTACCATGTCCATTAATAGTGAATGAATAACTTGAATCTTGTATTGCGTAAGCACACATCCCTGTATCATCACCATACAAAGAATTATTATTATTATTATTACTGTCGGTCAAAGCTGATGAGTACGCTGTCACTTTGCCGATTTCATGACCTGGTTTATGTAACGAGTCTATTTCAAATATATATTTTCTTTTAGACCAAATTGGCAAATCAGATCGAATATGCTGAAACATGTAAACAGTAAATTATAAGGTAAAGAATAAAAAAGTAGGTATCGTTTTAGTTTATTCAATGAGAAAATAGCTCACTAACTTGTGTACCGAATGACTGTCAACCAAGATGTTTTCCTTAATGAACATAGAACTTAAAAAATTAACAGCAACACATATCATTCATTTCCAAGACTCATCAAATGCTGACATTCAAAATATCAAAATAATTCGAAAAAATTTATTCCAAGTGGAAAATCAAGGCAAAAGGGATAAAGTTTTTGATAGGTTGCTAAACACTACTACTGAGTGATGTCAATAGTATGGTAGGTCTAACATTTTAGTCAGTTCAAACCAATTGTTCAAGGTATACACACTTAAACTGTTTAAATCTCAGATTATATTTAACACGGAAATTAAGTTCATTCATTCAAATTGAAAATATTCCATTGTTCTCGATGATGAAGAAAACTGAAAGCTCAAATGGAGTTTTGCTTATCGGGGGGGCTGGATAGTTTTCTAATCGTGAACCTGTCATTAATCTTCTGAACGAGATCATCAGCAAAAATCTAATCATCATCAACAATAATGAACCAAAGCTATCATCAGTCAGAAGTAAAAAATTCCAAATAGTCCACTTCTTCGTGAAGGTTCAGCCGATCATGTGGTTCCCACGATTAACTTATTAAGCTTAGTGAACAAAATCCTATTAAAATCACATTTTTAATGCGCTCTTTATTTATGTGCGTAGATTATTGAAATTTAGGTAATGAACTTTTCTATCTACGGTTGAACAAATTCTGTCAGTCAGAAAAATGTAGCATTAACAGCTGCATGCTTTTCAGTTAAACTTCTCGGTACACACAGCATCAAACCGAAGACATAAGGACTTCTCAGTTGTTATAATCTCAATCCGTTGACTCTAATTCTCTCAAAATATAGAGCAATCTTCCTTCATTCTGTGCATTATTGAAGAAAACAAGTTATTCGACATGCCATAACTTCAAAACTCAAAAACATGTCTGTCTTGATATGACTAAATTTTCATGGAAAGTGAATAGTTATAAACCGTCGTTACATCCGAGTTCACATACTTTGCATCCTACTAGAAAAAAGCATATTTCAAAAATAAGCTAATACTAATTTACTAAGGACTGAACAGGATTCGGTTTGTGTTTGAAAGAAGTTTTCCCGAAAACATTTTTGATTCAGATTAGTGTAGTGAAATTCGAGCAAAGTCCTTTCGTGTTCATACTCCATGCTTAATCATTGCAAAAGATTAAAATGAGTTTTCTAAATAGGAATGAATGTTAAATTATGCTTCATTTTACATGCTTCGAACATGGTTGCTTTATTTGCCCTTATTGATCTATTCTTGATCTGTTCTTGTTGTGGGTATATACAAGGCTGTGTGGCAGTGTCTGTCATTGAAAGTTGTGCCAAAGAAGTACATTAACCTTATACAAACTCTCTACTAGAAGACCACTGGTCGAGTGAGAGCCTATGGGCAACTGACATACGAATTCTCTACTTCAAGTGGTGTCCTTCAGGGACGTTCACTCTCTCCATCCTTGTTTAATTTTATCATAGACATGCTCCTAGATATAACCTTATCCTCGCCCAAAAATTCAGGAGTCGACCTTTCTACCACGAGAATCGCTTGCTGACTTAGAATATGCCGATGACATAGTCCTGCTTCGTGAAAAAACGCTGACAAAATTCAGAGTCTTCTGATTACCCTTAGCAACAATGCAAGCATGTTCGGGGTGCGGTTCTCACCCTCGAAATGCAAAATGTTGCTTCAAGATTGGGTTGCATCGGCACCTGAACTAGTGATAGGGAGTGAAGTAGTCGAACGTGTAGACCGCTTCACTTACCTGGGTAGTCTCATCAGTGCTGATGGACTGGTGACTGACGAAATCTCAGCAAGGATACAGAAGGCTCGATTAGCTTTTGCCAACTTGCGTCACTTATGGCGTAGGTGAGATATCCGCTCGCTGACTGAAGGACGAGTTTACTCCGCAATAATTCGCTCCGTCCTACTAAATGGCTGTGAAACATGGCCAGTCAGAGTAGAAGATATTCATAGGTTACCGGTTTTCGATCATAGGTATCTCCGAAGCATTGCTCGAGTATCGTGGGACTACCCAGTAAGCAATGCTCCCATTAGGAAACGGGTGCTAGGTAAGGATGGGAGCCCAATAGATGAAGTTGTGAAACTTCATCAGTTGAGGTGGTTGAGGTGTCGACTACCTCTGGTTGGGGTCCGCGAGATGTTAGTAATCGATGGTTAGAGACCCTGAATGACATGGCTCAAAATCGGTTGCAATAGCGCAGGTGCATTCATTCTTCGTGTTCTCTCAAATCCTAAAATTTTTAATTCCTCATCACTTTATCTTTATCCTATTAAGTCTATTTCACTAGTTTCTACTTCTTGAATAATATCTTCTAATCCTAACCTCTCCGACTACTGCTAATACCTCTACTACCTCTACTACTATTGGATTTGAATTGACAATTACATCTCTGTGCTAATTTGGTATGGCAACATGAACTGATGGACGTACGTACAAAGTTCTACGTTGCCATTGATTGATTTGATTGATATACAAGGCTTTGACTCTTCTGATCATTCTCTGACATATCAACTTCATTGAATGAATATTTATGCACATGAGTATAGGTTCACAAAGCATATCAAAGTTAACCTTAAAATTAAAATTTATTCGGAAACAAAACTATTTCCCTAAATAGTTTTCATAAATTTTATTCAATGAACAAAACTACCCATCACATCAAATCACATATTAGTGATTGTGATATAACTTATTTTAATAATCAGATAAATCCTACCGGTAAAGAATATGAAATGCAAATACATGAGTTCGTATGCAATTTATACAAACAGGAAAAAAAAACCTACTTCAAATGTAATTGGCCAAGATGGTGTAAATTTCGGTGGATTAGAACAATCTTCCGCTATTATTCTCAAATGATAAAATCCTGTTCTAGCTTCTAAAGTACCAAAACTTTCAGCCATATGATATAATGTTTCATTGAATGTCAAATAACCATATCCTTTCGCTTGATTTAAAACATTAGCGCGAACAAAATTCGGAACATTATTTCTACCAGAGGCCAACAATGAGATTGAACAAAGTTTTGAATCTAAATGTATGAAAAAGATTAAAAATAAAAAATCATCAACACAATTTTCTACTTTTATTCTTAGCATTAGAAAAAAAGATTTATAACTTTACTACAACAATAACTATAAACATGTACCGAAACTGTCGATTCGAACAATGACAGTCAAAATAATAAGACATCAAAAGATTAGCAGATCTAACTCTGGAAAATGATCTTCAACTGGTGAAAGTCAAAGTAAATCAAGAACGTGTTGAAAAGGTACTCTACAAGCCTTAGTAACCCCAAAAGAATTCAACACCGTTTACAATCTGAAGTGGAAAACATTGGTCCTCTATGTCTATGACCTGTGTATCTTGTAAAATATCACATTCAATGGGCAACTTTTCACAGTAAATATGGTAGCATTTGTAACCATTCGATCTGGCCTGTAAACAGACATGCCTCATATGACACGTTGTTTTCCAAGAATAAGCATTATCGCTTTCATTAATATAATTACCATGAAGACCTCGAAGAAATCACTTGAGTACCGATTTGATTTTGCCAACACATGATAGTACTTAGTTTCAGATATCAAAATTTACCCCCTACTCTAAGACTGGCACCAACCCTGTTCAAGAAAATAAACTTTTATCTAGCGAAAGGAATAACTTAACCACTTGGTAATAGGCTGTTTATCTTTCCGAGAGACAAGTAAACTCTGAAATGAACACGAAATCAGGAGGTCTGAAATATTCGATTCCCTTGTTGAACTACGTCTGATAATCTTAAATGAGTTAGTGTTGGTGAGATACGATCTTACAGAATGTGACATGGATGATCAAGCACAATCTGTGGGTTTTATGTTTCCAAACACAGGCCCGAGTTCGTTTCCAGAACCAAACGTAGACAAGGTACTAGCATGTTGGGGAGGCAGTGTAGCTCATAATACAAATTATCATGTGCTCATTAGTGACTAGCTAAGTGAGGAAGTTTCTCCAAGTTCTAGTAAGAAGTCGTAACTAGTGGAGTTCATCTCTGTCCAGATGTGAAGCAGTCCTCACCGAAGGGAGTAGATGAGGTAGCGCGAGACCGGTCATCGATCGAAGCTAGACTTCAAGACAGCTAGGTTCCAGCTCAGTGGTTGAAAGGTTAGGCGTTCGTGCGCCAGACCGAGGGTTCTCAGTTCGAAACCAACGCGTAGCCTAATTCGTGTATGCACATTGATGAAGATTCTCAAGCACCAAGACGAAAACGGCCATTGCACGCTTCCAGGTTTCTAATGGTGGTTTAACATTGATTGATTCATGATTTTGGAAAGCAATTTAACGATCTCTACAACCCTATAATACATTTGGTTAAAGTAAAATGATACTAATCTAACAGAACTTTGAATGAACCCATTTACTTCTATGTTTAAAAATGAACATTTGTTAATTGTCAAGCGTAGGTAGTAATCAATGAAAAACCAAGCGCCAGTGAAGGAAAATCATGTAGGGAATAGTAATTTGGTATGAATGAACTCCTAATTCAAAAACAGCTAATCTCATAAATTTACGTCACCTGATAAATTATTGGGAGTGAAAAACTAAAGAATAAATACTCTCGTCGGTATCATGAAAACGAAAGTTCTAGAGGTTCAGTATTAAAGGTCTTAGGTGCATATTACCGAAAACTCATAAACTAGATAAAAACAACCACTCATTACTCCTTGAGTTTTAGCAATTATTCAGCTAACGTCAGTCAACAATAAAAATGACCATAGCATAATAAGTTGGATTATTTACATCTAACTATACCACGTTTAAACGATGGATTTACTAAATAAAACAACAAGCAAGAATACTATAAACACTAAAGCCACCCATTTTGCAGCTCAAAACTGAAATTACTCACGTTTTACTGACTTTTTTTCAAATAAAAACCTGATACCTAGAAAACACCTATTCTGACAAAATTCTGAAACTAAACGTTGTAAAGGGTTGGACAGCTATGAGTATACAAGGTTAGAAGACAGAAGGTGAGTTCAAAAATTATGTAGTTATGTTAAATTTCAACATTCATGAATAATTGCAGCCTTTTATTCATACAGATTTTTATTTTCTAAGTATGAATGAAGCATTTAAAATACTCTTTTTACAAGAGTGCGGAATAACTAAATCTACAATAACAAACCCATTTTTGATTAAATAATTATCTTACAAAGAGTCATGGGAAACTATACCAGTTTAAAAGGTAACAGTTCCTGTAGGTTAAAACAGTAAAATTTATAAGGTAAGAAATTAATGAAAATAATAAGTACAAATAAACTTTCCAAAAAGTCGCTATGTCACAAGACGACCCCAGATACCTAGTAGAAACGTTATGAATTTCATGTACTGCCGCAGTCAGTTTAAACATTATTACTCTAAGTTACACAGTGTCAAATTCAAACGCATCGATAATTTCAACTACAATCTCTCCAAATTTACATACGAATCCGAAAGACAACTCCAAGCATGTTAAACTGTATATACATTCTTCGTTTCGATCATATTTTTACAGATATAATCTAGTGCTAAAGCTATCAAAACTGAAGTTCAAAGGCTTTCATTAGAAATAAAGACAGGCTTCCGAATTCTTCTGTTTGATTTTCTGATCAATAATCAATACTGAGATACATTATTTCTAAGAGTCAGCATTCTGTGCAGTGCTTTGAAGTGATCAGCTAAGAATATTTCCTATAGGTTTTTAAAATAAATAATATAGCATATAACGTTCGGCAAAATGAAAGTCTTCTAGTCATTGGACAGTAAACCGCATCAATCTGAGAGCATAATAAGAACATGAATCTTCCCGTCACTGAATTCTAAAAATGTTTTTTAACCTTGTTTTATTGTGAATGGCGCTGATAATTATTTACATTATATCAACACCATTACGTTATGTCCTTTTCAGATACCTGAGATTCTTTGTATATTACATTTCATCTAGATCAAGTAAAAGACTACTGACAACTATTGACATCAAATGCAAACGGCTACTTTGTATGTTATTATTCAAAAATTAACAAATGTTAGAGTTAAATGTAAATATATATGAATCGTAATGAATTCTCATTACACAAATCAATTTACGATCCTCAGGTTTTTATCTAAACGTACCATCAGTCAATTTCACCTGAATCGATGGAAATACTTGTATGGTGTGTGCTTTTTCATTCACATATGCATGGAAAGCTTCTTTTGATGTACGGGGGAAATTCCAAAACAGATCACATTCCACGATCAGAACTGTGTAAAGAATTCTATGATTATTGATCTGAATAACTTACATAAACGAAGTAGGTATAAAAACGTCAGACGACCCGTCATTTTACCTCTTCGTAACACCCGCGTACACTTAATGTAGCGTATCTAGCAACAGTGGAAATTGGAGATCATTTGAAATTAAAAATGCACACGATGTAAGAACACGATATAAAAGTCATCTATAAGTGTTGCCGTGAATTTTAATAAATTATTATGGTTATTTCCAAGATCGCTAAGAAAAAGTACTGCAGTTCACGAGCTGGTATGAACCAGTTGATTTGTTTACTGTTCCTTCTGGGGTTCCAGAAGGAACTTTTACCAAATAATGACAATTTAGGATTGGACTTCACTACTTTCAGTAACATTTTTATGTAAATGTGCAACTTGGAACCACCCGATCCTTCCCCTTGTTTCGCCGAGATCTTTATTAGTTAGTCGCGATTGTGCAACGCGACTAAGAGACGCCCCACTGTTTCTCAGTTAGGATTTTTTGAGTTGATTTCAGCCCCCTAAGTCGATGGTTTCAAGAAGATCCTGATAAACACACACTTACAGACAATCATCCCATGCCTGCACCAACTCTGCCTGATGCATTGCGCCGAACTTGCTAGTTTTTATGATTGCCATTCCTTCAGAATACTAACTTATTCTATCTCGCCCATTACCTCTGTTTTCTCTTCTTCTTTCACACTTGGCTCTTCTTAAAATAGCTCCATTGCTGCCTACTTACCTTATCTAATTGTTTTCTTAGTTCTGAATTTTTATTCTTAATAGCATTAGAACTTTCTCTTTATTATTCTCCACATTCGAACTAACAGATATGATGAAACCCTACTGCCCTGAACTAGTCACCTACTCAAATCGTGGCACATATAAATAACTGCTTACTAACTAGAATTAGTGCAGTTTATTGGCTAGACTACCATCCATTTGACATTACCAAATTCCAAGAACCATTCCTATATAACAAGAATCTAGATTAAAGAAATCAACTGGTTTACAACGGTTTGTGAAATGAATACTAGATATTACAACTCAAAGTCCCTGGAATTATCAGGGTCATTATTTAAGGACAGGTCCAAGTGGTGTGCTTCGTACAATCTTCCTTTAGTGTGCCACGATAGCGCTGAAAACAGGCGCACAAATATTGGTGACTGGAAAAATCGTGATTCATTTTTTATCCTTACCTTGAGGAAAATTTGATCGATTCTAGAGAACTGAAACCTAACCAATACCCTCAATTTTCCCCTATATGTAGATTTTACCCAAACTTCTTTCCGATATTTGCGAAATGTCTGAATATTTTAGCGGGAACTCAGAATCTCCTCTAAGTTGGGAAACGGAGGTATTTGTAACTTAAGTGTCTTGGTATGATTACTCTGAGTTTTTAAAAAAAACCACTGTTTGCACAATTGGATGTATGTAAACAAATGAAACCAATCACTGACATGAAAATAAATAGGAAAATTACATTATACGGAAGAGAGATTCAAAGGAACTGAAGTTTTGTATCTACAGAATGTGTGGATGATGAATTCAGATGAATTCAATTTAGTTCGGATCATCTCATGTAATATATTTGGAGTAAATATTCTTTCATAGATTAAATTTACCTAGGTATGGATTATGTACTGTAGTTGTATCTTAGGCCACTGATTGTCGAACTGCTGTCTTATTGATGGTCAGAAATAACCTAATTCCCTATATCAACTGGTAATAACCAGTTTTTTCTAATAGTAGTCACCTTAAAACAATTACAGAAGTAAGAGAGTACGAAGCAGTCTTTATTGCATTCTGATAAGTCACTCATCACAGCTTAAATAAATGTCTGGTCTTTTTATTACTAGTACGTCTTTTGGAAAATTTGATTCCATATATCCTGGAACCTCTGAAAGTTAGGCTTCCATTTGTCCGTAAAAAGATCACTATTGTGAGAACTAACTGAGGGAATTTTTGGGGCACAGTTTTGGAGGTTTGTGATTTTTTACACATTTGAAATCATCAATCAATCATTGTTAGACCACCATTAGAAACCTGGAAGCACTGGACGGCCGTTTCGTCCTGGTATGGGACTCATCAGCAGTGCGCATCCACGAATCCTGCGAGGAGCAGGATTGATGATTTCAAATGTGTAACTGAGGGAAGTCGGACGGATACTTCTGAATACCTATAAAGTATTCAGTTTATGTGACTCGCATTTACGAAAATCACATAATAACAAACATTCTCTAGCAGATATCTGAAAGGTTTTTGGGGGTAATTTTCTAAGTATAAATTAACTCTAGCAGGCTATGAACATTCCAAGTTCGAATGATGACTTCTCACCCATAGGCCTTGCTCCGTCAAACAGTCTTAACATTCTGGGACACCTTTACTGAAGGTGTCTTTTTATGTGTAATTAATACTTTCACTAACTTTAATGGATAAAATTTGTGTTACTTAGTATTTAAATGCAATCTTGTTTTATTGTTTAAAATTTTTCGAAGGGTATCAATTTTACGACTGGAAACTTATCATACTCTATAGGTTTGACTGTTGCACTCATGAATTTGGTAACAATTTTCGGCATTTATAAATATTTATATAACTCAATATCTATACCTGATGGTTCAGGTAGTATTCAACTTGCTCCTGACCTTATACTGAAATATTAAAATCCTTGCACTCAGGAAAGTCACCACTGCCAAATACCTGGAACTGTAGCACAAAGATAATTCTAGCAAAAAGAAATCGATTGGTTTATCGTAGCTCGTAAAAAATATGTTGGATATCGGATTTTCGGCTGAGTGATCTGAATTGTGAATAATTCTCTGAGTAATGCGTTCGCGTGACTGTATGAGAGTTTTCATATCACTGCCGCTCGAGAATGGTATTTTCAGGTCACTGCTGATCCCAGGTTTCATATCTCTGTAAGATTTCCTTGAATTTATAGCGTAATATTTGGTAGCAACTTTATTACTTAACATGATACCTGAGAGATTTAGGGATGAGAAACGAAATAATTGAAAGTAAAATACACGGAATATGATTTTTGGTAAGAGGGATTCAGTAATATATAAATACTATTACGAGAGAACAGAACCTGGAAGTACTCAAAAATTGAAACTTTATCTTTAACAGTCCTTGTAAGCAGCTTCTCGTGGATCCAGGAACTTGTCCACAAGTCCTGTGTTTGCGAGTGAATGAATGTGTGTATGTTACCGAAGCAACTAGGAAGAGAGGTTTTGATCGAAACAGCTAAACGTACCGCACATCGGTTCCGACGTGAAATATCTCCATTTGTCCGAATTTGTACTCAGATTTTCACCCGGTGCATGAAGACAACATTAATGTCATCGATATTGATTAAATCTGGTCTCCTTAATCAGTTAGTTTCCTGTGAATGGAGGGAAGTCAACAAGGCTACGTCTTTTAAATTATCTAGAATTAACTTTCCTGCTTCACTTCCTAAAATCTCAAATAGTTTATGTGAAGAACTGTTATCTTTCCTTAGTTATTCACGACATCGTCGTATTGAATATTTGTGTTTAGTAGCTATCAATACTAAACGTCCAGGCAGTCGTATGTTGACGTTAGAATTTAGATGCTTTAGGTTATCGAATGAGACATTAGACTCTTCACAGCCAGTAGCAACTACGAAATATGGACTGAACACTATCGGATATACTATCGCTATTTTAGTACTATGATAAAAGCGCTTCAGGAGTTGTTCATGCTCGTTTTCCAGATTTTGTTTTTTAATACGCCTAATTAGTCGATTTTCTCAATTTAATATAAATTTTAACCCCAAAATCGCGTTTGGTAGCATGTCTCTGTAATTCGCAAATAAACTTTCTAGCTTCCCGGTCATCCCATCCTAACAAATTTTGTTTTTTCACGGAGTTTGAAGTTTGAAACCTTTTTGTGGTTTATTACCATTTCTATAATTTCGTCATAGTTTAGTGGTGACAGAGTTGAGATTGACTATGATCACTACCAAATATTGGTTACTATCCAGTCACATTATATAGAAATAAATCCATGTTTCAATGTTAATTTGAAGGAGAAAGTAGGTATTACATAGAGAGCAGCAATTTATGAAAAATGGCAGCGACGTGAAAAGAACGTTGCACGCAAGAAAGTGTTTTTGGTACAGTTAAATAAAACAAGCACAGTAGTAAATGTTCATTTTTCACGAATCACGTTTTCTTCGTAGATGTATTCCACTAGAATAGTTTAATGAAATAAGTTTACCTGATAAGGAGAAATGTTTCAGTGAACTGTAGGCATCTTTTCCGATGCATGTTAGGGAATGAAAGATCAGTTTATCACCTTTGATAACTTTCGTGATCATAACCCATGTTTCAAACCTCTCTCTGTCCAATGTTTGACTCCGCCACTAAACCAATGTGATAATCAGGAATATTTGTATAAAGTATATGGACTAGTGATTTTTAGAAATTTCCAATTCATGTCCCTTCAGCCACGTATGAACCAGTACTGAACTCAAGAAGAACTGTGTGGACAAGAACTAAAGTTTTTCGAACTGGAATAATCGGCGGGATTATGTACAATGTAATGATTGTTGTATTCATTTATCACATTAGATTTTACTGAAATTTTTAATGTGCCTTAATGACTTTGTTGCGTTGTCAGTCGTGAAAGTCATCCACCTTTGACCATGAGATTAATTGCTTCATATATCCGTCAGACAGATATATCAAAACTGGCGCCTTTAGCCTTTTCATATTAGGTGTTTTCTCTATCAAACTCACGTATCAAATCTAAACACTGGGGAATAGCACGATATAAGCACAAGTAGGAGTTGTTTATGGAATAGTTATCATTCCGATACCTTTATCGTAGCTGAACTCACACTTATTCTAATATCTAGCAGTTGAGTGGAAGTTTAGCCTGCAGAAATGAATACTGTCAGTTACAGTCAAACGACAGTATTTGCTAAGGATTCTTCGGATTACAGATGACTGTTAAATGCACAGTATGACTTTTGAATCACAACAAATTACTAGGATGAGTACTGAACAACTATTTGTTGAGGAACGACAACCAATAATTAAATCAAAATAAATATTGTACAGTCATATAGAAGGACAATATCACAAATGAATGG